TTGTTATTGTTGTTATTATTATTATTGTTATTACTATTATTATTATTCTTATTCTTATTCTTATTATTATTATTATTATTATGTTGTTGTTTATTATTATTATTATTATGTTTTATTTTTTTTAAGTATAAAAACCTTAAATTAATCAACTTTTTATCATGTTAACAGCTTAAAGGGTATTTCAGACATTTTGATAAAAAAAAGTGTATACCAGCACTTACTTGCCAAACACATCAACAACTTTTTTTTCAACTGCAGCACTTTTATCCAAACACATAACTACTTATTTTAAAAATAAGTTTCAGCACTTTAAAAAGTTACTTTTTAAAAGTTACTTTTTTTAAGTCAATCCAAACGGGCTCTTAGTTTACACAATTCAACAGCATATCAGAGCTAACATTTGGCAAGCTTAGTCTCACTCACATCTCAATTTTAAAATTATGATGTGAACTCTAGAGATGAATTGCACGTGCGGGAAGTTGTTGAGTTATACAAAATCCACATTTTCTATATGATTCTTGGTTAGATAATCATATTCCTTTTTTTGATATAGCCACGATACGGGGCCATCTTGCACACTCCTTGACTAATTCCCTGAGATACCTGTTACCTCCCACCAACACAAGTTCTGTCCACCAAGGCTTAAATAGATGGGAGAATCACCTAGCGTTTTTGCCTCCCTAAGATTTGAACCTGAGATCATAGTTCTCAACCTACTTCATTGACCACTAGGCTACACTCTTGGGTGCATTGGATAATCATATTTTTTTAGACTTAGTTTGGGAGAAAATGTGCTCCTAGAAGTTTCATATCAATCTTTTCTTTTTCTTTTTTTTGGCACAAATAAATTTATTGCCACCTGACAAAATTTTGCTTCAAAGTTCACCATTCATTTTTTTTAGAATGTTTCAAAGTTCACCAATCTACACACGTTGGATTATCATCTCTTATAGAAATAAAGAAAAGAAGATTACATATATACATTGTTGTCCTCAATATTAATTAATTTTAAGATCCGTTTTGAGGTATGCTTTCCAAAGTTGAGCCACAATCCAAGAATTTTATTTTTTGAAACACAAGCACTAGTCAATTTCCCTTGTCCCATACAACTTTAGAATGGTATTATCAACAAACTAAGTCATTTTGGGAAGCAACTTTTTCAATCTTTTTTTCTGTCCCACAGTGGTTCCCAAACCAGCTTGAGGGCACCTCGCACCCTCTAGTATCTCTTCCCACCAAGGTTTAGGTTGATGGGAAGAAATCTTAAAAAGGAAGAATGCCTTAATTACATACATAGTTTTAAAGTGGAAATCACCTAGTGTCATCTCTATAATAATTTAAACTCTAAGCAACCTAATAGGCGAATTAGTCCTGCTTCAGCAAACTGATAGAGTTGAAATTTATCAATGTCAACTTCAAGCTAAGGCTGGAATTGGATAATTAAGTTGATACTATTCCTGATTTTCTGGATGATTTCCTTGAAATTTGAGCTTGAGGACAAGCTCTTCTAACGTGAGGGGAGTAATGTGTGGGTGCGGGAAAGTCCATTTAATTAAGTATTTAATTATATTTTTAAAGTAGATTTATTTATTATTTAATCATATTTTAGTAGCTTTCTTTATTATTCTAGAATAGGATTTATATTTAATAGTTTCACAAGGATTAGGTTAAGGCGTTAAGCTATAGTTATTCGCTTGGAATAGGATTTAGATTTCCTACTTTCACAAGAATTAGACTTCCTATTGATGTAATAAGATTCCTATTTAAAGGGGGTTCTGATGAATAAATCATTAAGTCATACTTTAGCAAAAAGCAAGAAATCAAAGTTCTCTCTTCCATTGAACTCTAAGGTTTCGACCTCCCTTTAACGAGCTGAATTTATATATTGCCTTGTGAATCGATCCTTCCCTAAAGACCATAACAGCTTATGCCCGACTAATTGAATGGAGTTGCCAGCTTTAATGAATCAAGTTCAAGTACCGAGGAGATTTATTTGAAGAGCTTCGGTTATCAATGAATAGGCATGTGGAAGCAACATTGCTTGCATTGATTCAATTGATTTGAAGTGGAGGTTATACTACACATACATATACGACCTTGAAATAAATCTGAGTCGACTTCTAGCCTTTTATTCTTTATCGCTCTCGACTGGTCCTATAGCTTGCACTGCAAATGGACAGAACAGCTTTGGAGGATGTTCATCAGCTTGAGGGAAATAAATTGGGTAAAGCCAGGGAACATGAGAGGAGTCCTCAACTATGGCAGTTATCTGGGAGAGAGAGAGTAGTACATACTGAGTCTCTGCATACAACAAATTAATTATCTTCTAGGGTGACTCAGGCCAAGGGCAGAGTTATAACCAAACATCGACACTAACAGACAGAATTGATTGCAAATGGAAAAGTAAAGTTACAGAAAATATTTCACTAGAGTTACCTTAGGTAAGGCCAGTGAACTGCATTAAAATCAGAGGAAAACTGACAGTACACTCCTGAGTCTTGAGCACGCAGTGATGCTCCACGTGATAAAGCTGAAAAATTAAAACCTTCAAGCTTATCTGTATGGACATAAACTTCCTATTCATTACAATTACAAATCAAATAAGATAGAGGGAAAACTGAAAAGGAAACAGCAGTCCTTTACCAGTAATAGGAGCTATAGTTTGAATATGCTTTCCCACATAATCACTAACACCAGAGAAGGCAGATACTGCTGCAGTCTTAGACACATGTAGCATATTCACAACATTGGGTTCATATAACTGGTTTATGGATGTTGGTGCTATGTAAAAAGGATTCCTGCATATCATATGCCCTTTGGAGGCTGTGGTAGAGGAACTGACAGGTGCAGGAGTAGGAACCTCCAACCTATGATGCAAGGTTCGTGGTCTTGGATTCTCACTGAGTTTAACCTGCCTTCCATTCAAACACTCTTTGTTAGATAGTTGTAGAGTTTGATTTCCAATTAGAGTTGAACTTGATAATGGCCCCAAAGGGACTGCCTGCGATGGTGGAGCTGCTGTAGACATTGGTTTACAGACAGACCTGATATTACCATTATCAAAGGGTCCATCATGAGAAATTAAAGATGTCTTCCCATACAAATTAAGGGTGTTCTGAGCATCAGGCATATCCATCATAATACCACAGGGCTTGCATGAATGAAGGTTCTTCTCATGTAAGGCCAAGCGATTGCTATGACTAAGCCCTTCCACAATTCTCTTAACAGTCCTTTTATTTTCATAATTCTTGGAGTAGAGTCCAAAGTTCAACTCAGCAGCACTGTGTAAATTAACACTATTGTTGGCCACAACTTTATCACTGTTTCCACGTCCAAGAGCACATGAAGTATCAACATTAAATTCCTTATTAGTCATCTTACCTCTAGCACAATGAAAATCAATTTGGTTGCACTTTAGAGTAAGGGATTTACACTGAGGTTCTCTGGGTGGAGTATGACTTCCATTAACCATATTTTTTATATCTTCAGAGTACAGTAGTCTTTCTGAAGGACCCTTGAACTGCGCTTGTACCACAGGAAATATGGAATTTCTAGTTCTGGATTCACTTGTTGCATTGTGGAGTCCATAGGCGGAGTTGACAAGGTCTGGCTGGCACTTTCCACTTATTGAACTCGAATTCAACATATGAAAATTTGACTTGCTTTCTTCCACTGCCTGTGATTCAACTGCTGTGTGACACTGACAGGTGTAAGCTTAAAGAGATATCAAGAACTAAAGGGATTAATTCACAACTAATAACAGACCTTTATGCATAAGGGGCTCTGGAAACAATGGTTGTTGGTATTCCATTGGTTTGACAATGGAATGATACTCAAAAGTTTGTGGAGCTAAAGTTCCCAACTTTTTGCTTTGCTGGGATGGATGCCCAAGTCTCAACTCAATACTTGAGGAGACACTACTTCCGTCCATTTGCAATAGTGAACTGTTGATACCAAACGATTTTAAAATTTTGAGATCTGGAAGAGAATTGAAAGTATTTGTGTCCTTAGAATTTGAACCAATATAATCTAAAAGAAATGAAGATCCATTCTCCAGGTCTTGTATCCCATCTAAGTTTGACAATGGTGGACGCTGAGGGTTCTTTGAAATAGACATATTGTTCCATGACTGTCTAGCTCCATTTGAAGCTCCAAATGTGCCGGACAGCTCAAAATTTGGAGATGAATTGGGAAGGGATGGATAAAACTCTGCCGAACTAGTACTCACTGGAAATACTTCAGGCCAGTCCCATCCACCATGATCTTCCGGAGCCCTAATCTAAATAACAATAAAAAGATCACCATTAGTGGCGCTTGTGCTTCAAATGGATGTCAGTAATAAGTACTTTAAACCAATAGACATAGTAAAATAGAGAATCTAGGTTCTTAACATCTGCAGTAAATAAAAAAGACGAACAAAACCAAACTACTTAGTGCGTACAACCCTAGAAACAGTGGTCTAGCTTGCATCTCTGCGCACATGTATGCTAAAACTATAATACTACATAAGCTTTCAAAAGTAGGTGCTCCATCAATTAAACCATTGCAGGCTAAGAACATTTTATCAGGATCAGAAAGCCAATAGTTCATAAGAAAATATTCTTTTAGTTCAGAGATATAGATAGCTACTAACTTATAGATTATACGGACAGTATTTAATCCAGCTAAAACCTAAGTGGAAAGTTTTCTAAGTTGACTGTACAAAGTCACCATATATAGTAACTCTAGCAAAATTGCAAATTCCACTTCTACCTTCCCATAGATGATGTGAAAACAAATTGGAATGCTAAATTTAGTGATCCAAACTGTTATCTTTCTCCTTCACAATTTTGCAGCAACTTTTCTCTCTAAATCGAACTACCTTAAGGAAGAAGTCATTCCTTTTTGTCTTTGCTAATTATCCAGTTTAGTCTTCCAAGTTCTCCTTCAATCAATCAATCAATTAAGCGTAAATCCCAAATCTCCTTAGAAAAGTTTTTGTCGAATTTCCTAAAGAAATTTAACATGTGATCCCAAAAAGACTAGCTGAGCAAACTATGTTTCCCATTACGTAGTAATTCCAAAATAGTTATGATTCCAAGAACCAAAACAGATGTACATACCAGGAAACATTGAATTGGAGATATATCATGAACATAAGAAAAATTGATTACATAAATACAAAGAGATTTGAAAGAATGTAGGTATCAAAATAAATAAGAGGAGAGATTTTGAGGCAAAGAAGAATAGATGTTAGATACCTCACATATTCCTTACCCCTAGTTTTTGGAAGAAGAGCTTCCGCCAGTGAGCTATGGTTACACCACTGTCCATTAGAACAGCATTGCCAGGATTAAGATCAGATAAACCAGAATGCTGCAGAAAGGAAAAACTTGAAAGAGTTGTAAAGAAAAGTAAATAAATGCATGGAGTAGTCCAAGTAAATACCTGACAAAACCTAGAAATAGACATATGTGAACCATGGCAGAAACAAATAACTCCAAGAATAGGAGTAGTTGTGAGAACCAGGTATCCGGCTGCATATGCATTGAGTGAGAAAAGTAGTATTGATGGAAAATGAAAGTAATTAGTGAGTTAGTTAGTTACTCACTTAAACCGAAACAAAACACACGGAGTGGGGAACCTCTTGAAAACATTACTAGTTTGGTGTCGCCAATTTCACATTTTGTATTAAGGCTAGGGTTTCTCCATCGCTGAAAAATTGTGACAATTCAACAGCAGATACAACTACTTCTCCATTCCTACAAACAGATCCATTCATACTTTGGCTTTTCAACACTGATTTTTGATTGCATGACTCAGCACGATTACATATATCCACATTTCAATTTCAATTCCACGGAAGATCCGATTCTTGTACTATTCCATTTCCCAGCTGTGACATCGGAAGTATTTTGACCTGCATTTGGAAACTACGGCAGTGAGAAAAACAAATGAAATATATGAGGGGGAGAAGATCCACTATATCAACTCTTTTTAAATTACTTTACCAAAAACAAAACAAGTCTTTTTCAATCAATTTTTATACATGGTAATAATTGTTCATTATAACAAAGTTATGTGTCATTTGGAAAGGAAAAAAGCCTCAACACCATTTTGGTCATCTCAGCATTATGACCAGAGCCAGTACTATTAACCAGTGTTTTAAAGAACTCAATTGGGACTTGCCTCGGGTGGATCTCTAGCAAAACGCCTCGAGACTCAAGTGTGAGACTTAGTTCTGTAACACTTACACTCTAAGCATCTAGTTGTACACCCTAAGCATACCCAATGCTCAGGGCTTGCCTAACAAATCTTACATAAATTATGTGTTAAATTCTTTTGTTAACATTGTTGACCAACATAATTCTTAATAAGTGAATGATACTTAATCGTTTTTTAATTTATAGAAATAAGAAGATTGAGAGTCCTCAAATAACAAGTTGTAGTATCGCATATTTACTATTTGGTAACACAGGAAGACTGATTATATATTACGTAACATTTCTTTTAAAAATACATAGCGAAAATTTATGTTTTTCACTTATCATTGGTCTTCACGTTTTTGTCATATGCCTTAAAATTATCATATTTTATTTAGTTATTCGAAAGTAATTTTATTTTTATCCATGATAGAGTGATGTTTTTATTATAATACTAATAAGTTTTATTGATTATCTTTTTTTGGGGGGTAAATTGTATAGTATGATATTAATATATTTTTCGAAATAATGATTCTTTTATTATTAGAAAGTTAAGATATTAGATTATTTATACTTGTATAATAATATTATAAGTTTTATTTTCTATGAGTTTCCTTGATCATGTTTGTAATTATTTAAAACTATTGATGTATTTTTATAATATTGTGTTATTATATTATTATACTATATATTGTAAATTAAAAATCTAAAGATCCATATGACTTACGCCACGTCTCAAGGCTTATGTCTCACCCTATGCTAAGTAAAACAGCTTGTCCCACGCCCCTGCCTTTTAAAACACTGCTATTAACTATTGTTAATAGTAGTAACATGTGATATATATACAAAAAGAAAAAAAGGCAACATTTATGAGGCGTTTTGTGCATAAAAGTACTCAGCTATAGGTTATATTGTCTAATAAAACACGCCTTATTCTCGCATTATCAATTTCAAGCTTTAGAATGTCGCAGAAGTCAAATAATCATCATATCATATCATCATATATCATATATTACTATAACTGAGAAGAGCTTAACCCCAAAGTTGATTTACCATTTTGACCCTACAGTATAACTTAAATATTAATTTATTAAAAAATAAATTTGCTGATAATCTCCGCCCTAATTTAATTCTCCAGAAACGTATAGTTGTTGCTCAATCTCCCTCGATCACTGTAACCACCCTTTTCCAACTCTCAAGTTCCATTGCTTTAATTCTGATCCAAAACGAAAATACCCTTCGGATATTGAATAACCAATTAAGAATCTTTTAAATAAATAATAATAATGTCACTAAGAGTCTTTTCCACTACTCTACTAAATATGTGTACGAAATATAACATATATCTCATATCTTTTGATATTTATGCTAAATTAATTTTAAATGGTCAACCCAATTCAATGAATACTACTACTAATAACTTGAAAATAAGACCACATCTCTTCATCTGCTGTGATTATTTCTGCATTTTGTGATCTTTCCATCTCCTCAAACCTTTACATATACTTCATTCATCTATATAATTCCCCCCAACAACATGTCATTGTCCATTAATATGTTTCTCTTTTCTGTGCCTCAATTAAATACATCATTGTCGGGTAAAAAAAAATTCTCCTCTTTATTTATCAAGAGCTGCTCTGTTTTCCCTGTTTACCGTGTATGCCTTTATCTAGCTTATTTCATTTCATTCTCTTTATCATGAGTCGTTATGTTCTTGATATTGTTATTTCTGTGATCTCACATAAATTTATTTTCTTCTTTATCAATAGCCACTCTGTTTTCTGTTTATTTATTTATCCAAGTTATTACGTTTCACCTGCAAGTGTTGCACATAAATGGAATTTGGGAGGTCCCCTGGTTGATATCGTTGGATGTTGGATACATAAAGAGATTGATGATGGATATAGAAGTGGAGGTGGTGCATACCTATCGGGAAGGGAACAATCTGGCAAATTTTTTTGCTAACCATGCTGTTGATTTTGCAGATACACCGAAGACAATTCTCAAATTTGCAGGAAACTCCTCTTCAAGCACAAACAATTATTCAAATGGAAAGGGACAATATACCAAATCTGAGAATTAAAAGAGTACAAAATACAGGTTACGGAACACAAAGCTGATAATGATCGAAAGTTCAACAAATACATATGTGATGCTTCAGTATATTCTAGATACTTTGTTTTTCAACTGGGAGGTTATTTTTTCAAACAGTGGTATCAACTCCTTAGGAGTTCAATCTGTTGAGAGGATAAACTAATAGTTTGAAAAGTAAAGTAAATGCAGCTTCAAATTTTTCACTTTGAATAGGGTCAGAGGCAACTTTACCTTCATTTGAGGGTCCATTTTTTTTATGTAGAGATACAAAGCCACATCCATGTTAAGCCAGCATAGATCTACCACAATCATGTTGAAGAAGTCTTCATTGGTGTAGAATCATAACGTCAGTGAGAATTTTTGACGTATAAGTGATTACAAGCCGAACATGATGTTGTTTGTAGAGAATGGTGGTCGAAAGGATGCGATGGTGTGGAAGAAACCAAGCTGCCGGCGTTCATCTTAATTTGTTGCTAAGGATTCCTGATGGATCTATTAATGGAGTTCTTGAACCCTTCAGCTGCTCTTGCCTATTTTTAATGTAGTAGTTTCCAATTTGTAATTTGGGTCTTGGCCACTTTTGGGCTTAGAATTTTGTTCCCTTTTGTTTATTAATAAAAACATATGAAATCCCTTAACCCACCCAAAAAACTAACGACAACATATATGTGAAAGTGTTGGATTTGTGGGAATGTTCGAAAATGATGGCATGTTGGAAGAGGAATATTGGCAGACATTGGAGGCAAAGTCATTTTTTCGACAGAGGAAAACGTAGGCAACGATGGCAATGGTCTATTAGCTGTTGGAACTGTTGGCAAAGATGTAATGCTTGGCAATGGTGGCAACATATGTTGGTAAATTGGGAATAATGGGTAATTGTGGCATTGTTTGCTGAGGCAACGAGGGGGTCATTGGCAAATTTGGAAGTTGCAGTAGGCTACGAGCAGCATGACTTGTGGTGATGTTTGATAAGGAAAATAATGTTATGATCACGCAGAGGATTGAGCAATTGCTGAAAGGCACCATTGTTGTATAATTTGCTTGATGACTTTGTTTTACAAGGAAATTATGTTGTGTTTTGAGTTGATTTGAGTTTAATCATCTCTATAGGGTTTATATAGGGGAAATTCTTTGGGACTATATGCATAATTGGATGAGATGTTAGGTGTTAGTTAACCTTCTTGAATGTTGGTTTGAGGAAATTGATTTGCCGCTTTGCCGCTTTGAGATGCCCACAGATTAGCCAAGACTACCTAAAGGATCAACAATTTAATGCCAAAACTATAACTAGGAGACATAAATTAGTTTTTGATTGTATACATAAGTGTTTTTTCATGTCGTGTTGCATACCTTTTATTAAAATACAAACCTTTTTTAAAAAAAATTAGCTTTAATGTAAGCAGTACTTCATTGGAACAAATAAACTGAATTAGTTATTAATTTTATCACTAATCTATTGCTAATTTTTTCATATAAAATGAATTAACCTTAAGAATCAACAATTTTCAAAGTAAAAATGCATATCACTTAACCGTAGTTAAGTGTTAAAAAAGTATATATGCAAGATGTATGTCTTACATTCATTGGTTTTGTGTGAACACCCAGTGTGGATAAACTTTCACCCAACAACGATCGGTCCATGTTACAAAGACTCTTCCCTAAATGGATTTCCTTGTTGATTGTTTAGCCAAATATATTGAACTTCAAAATATTATTTAGCTGACTAGTTATTTGAGCATCAATTATTAGGCAGTTAAACATATTTCCTAAGTAGTTGAAAAACATTAGAAGGATCAACAAATAAAGCTATTGCCATAACAAGTCAAAAGATTGTCAGCCAAAGATTTTCCGTTTTGAAGTCATTTCGTTTGTAATACTTTCATTACAGTAATTTTTTTCTTTTTTATTGATTTATCTCAATTTGAAATTACATTACTATTTCTTCATGTTGTAATACTTTTAACAGGTTTCTTACTTTCGGCACCACCAAAATTGGTAATATTTCTCCACCTTGTATTTACTTGCTTCAATTAACGTGATATTTATACTATTGTTAGTTGAAGTTGTTCAGTTTTAAAATTAAAAAAATAAGAATTAGTATATGTTTGGTGAATATTCTATTCTTGAGCATCTTTATTGTTTGACCTAAAGAATACTAATTAGATAGAAATAATTCACATTTATGTCACAAATATATATTGTATTAATACATCCTAGCTACTACATCCATACAATGACAAGTGTGGAAGAGCTCGAGAACCAATGCCTACCTATTAGCAAGTTTGAAGAAACACTAACTGAAAGCGGCCGGGAATGAGTACCTATCCCTTACGGGAATCGAACCCGTGTCTTCGACATGAAAAGATGATGTCCTAACCACTGGACGAAAGGGACCAAAAAGCCATTCTTCATATACCTCAGCTCCGAGAATAGAAGTGGTTCGTTTTCTTTCTATACGCAATTCAAGATTTCGTTTGTGTTCATGATATGCAACTGAGTGGGTGATTAAAGTCTTAATCATTCGATGAAGCTTAACAAAAGAGTACAAAAATACAAATGGTGAGGGTATTCATTGGCAACTAATATTCGTCGACGAAGAGGTACTCTATTTTAATATCTTATTATATTCATTACTTAATATGTTGACTGAGAGTCTACTGATTATGATTCTTACCACAAGGAACAAAAA